GCCCTGAGTCCCTTTTGGGAATAGGGCGGCATATAAATAAAACAAACCTCAACCTCAACCTTTATGCTTGAGTCCTCACCACTCGCACAAATGAAGCTGCAAGTGCTAGCCCACAACTTGCACAGCCCGGGTCTCAATGGGCCATGCGCCAATAATTATGTTGGCGGCCCAGGGGTTGGGGACCTCTGCCGTATACCATTCCAGACAAATGGCTATCCTGTCTCTTCTTGAAAGAGGTGATTAGAATCAGACACAATTGGACAGGGGAAACTTTTACCTTTTTATTTCACTCTAGCAAAACCAAGTCTTTAGGACCTTGCGATGATGTTCCACAGGCAAGGAGCTTCTTAGTCCCGTTAGATGGACTTTCTTAAAAGAGATGAGCTGTAACATTCCTTGCCTCCCTGCTTTGGCGGATCGATAGATGTCATTGGGAAAAGACATTCCTTCAAATAACCCGGTCCCAAGCCACATAGGGCTTTGAAGGTGACAACCAGCCCTTTGGATTGGGCCAAGAAGCAAATTGGCAGCTGACGGAGATGATACCTGTGGACATCAAGATCCACCCCAAAATTACGTGGACCGTAGCATTTTGAACCCACTGAAGCTGCCAGATGCTTTTCAAGGGCAGTCCCTTGTAGAACACTTTGCAACAGTCAAGATGGGAGGTGACTAGGCCATCGGTAACTGGGAGGAAGGATTGTTGGTGTCACATCTTCTCATCAGGGTATTTCTGAACCCTACAGAGATGAACAGCAGATGGAAACTCCAAAGTTTGAAAAGGCAGCTACAAGTTTGCTCATTTCCAGACTTCAGAACTAACCTTGTCAAAATTTGGCAGGCTCTGACGTGTGATTGCCAACTGATTAAACGCAACATCCTTGCTCTTGTGCTTTCTCAGTAGTTTGATCTACAAAAAAGTCAGATGAAGGTTTTTCCACTGGATGGATATATAAACTGTGTTGGATGTTCTTGTCCCTAGAATCAACCACCATGGAAGACACGCGGAAAACAGGCTCTTATAGAAGTTGGCAGCCGTCCCTTAAATATTTTTTAAAACCATATAAAGATGTCAATTGGTAAACCTCACTGGGGAACCGGTGAAAGAAAAGAGAGGCAAGCTGCTATTAAAATGTCTCCGTTCCTATTGAATGTAATTTCGATGCCATCATTAATAACACATCTCACAACAAGGGAATTATCCATCTGTCCTGGAGATGATTAAGTTTGAGCCCTCAAGCTATTTTCCCATCCCAAATATTTAACACAGGACAGAGAGAACATCGGAAGGGAACAATCAGCGCACACATCTGGTCAAACTTTGCAACAGAAGAACCGTGGGCTCAAAGCTTTCTCTTGCTGCTCTTTCTTTATCCCTATTAGTGCTACCAAAATGTTCTGCCAACTGAACGATGTGACAGCTTTATGTTTTGCTGTCAGTGCTGAAAAAGAGAGATGGCAATAGCAGAACCAGAGGAAGTATGAATGGAACAAGTCAAACTGGGAGATGTTATTTATATCCTGCCNAGCACTGCCCCCTAGAGTCAGGAACGACTAGCACATATGTGCAAGGGGAACCTTTACCTTTATCTGCATATATCACAGTGGCTACATTCCTGAACCAGCTGAAATGTCTTTATTGATGTATTTATTAATGGAATTTGCTCTTCTTGAAATCTAAATATCCTTTCCTCCAAACTCTTTCAAAATAGCCCAATTTTGTTTTAGTTTTATTTTCCCAAGGTTGGGCTCTGCTAACTGCCAATTTCTGCCAGTTCTGTTCAAGAACGTTGAATATGATGGAGGAATCTTGAAGAGTCAGCTTTCTAACCACTAACCGCAAGGAACCTGGTTTGAGGAAAAAGGAACTCGGCTGTGCCTAAAACCACAGTGTTAATTCATGATGTGGCAGCTGGACTTAACCCAAGAAATTTTCTTTAGCTGCACATCCTGGTATTAAATAAATTTTCTCTTTCGAAGAGCAATGGATCTCCAGCAAAATAATAGAGTTGGAAGGGACTGTTCTGACCCAGCCTTAGAAGAAGCAAGAAACAGACTCCTTGTCACAAAAAACCCTACTTACCTTTTGTGAATTAATGGCATTCACCCACCGAAAAGTCCAGGCAATAGTTCTTCAAGGATTTAACTGCAGTACTGACCTTATCAGTTCCTTGCGATAATTTTAAGGCCATGAGCTTCCAGCCTAAAAGTTGCAAATTAAGTTCTGGCAAGCAGTCCTTGTGGCTCGAAACACAATGAGCAAAATCTTCAGAAATGTGAACTGTTGTCTCCTACGACAACCACTCCTCTTTCTATTTATTCCCCAGCCAGGGAGGGGCCATTCAATGTCCATGTGTGCTTTGCTTCCTTAGTCGACTCCTTGTCCTCCGTTGTTCCCCTCTCCTAACAGCTCTGCGCATACGTGCATCTGGAACAGGCCCCAGCTGCTCTTCCTCCTCACTCATCTCAGCCTCCAAAGGCAGCTGAGAAATGTCAGACGGTCCTGGCTTTATCTCTGCGTCCAATGCAGACACCTCATCAGAGCCTTCCCCGGACTCCAGCACTGGCCCAAGTTCCTCCCCAACCTCCTCATCTTCCAAGTCTGCCGCCAGCTCCACTGGCAGTTGACGGGCCACAACAGGGACCTTGGCGGTCTTCTACTCCAATTCCCTATACAGGCAGGAGATGCTATACCAGTGATCCTCAAACTTTCCAGCTTGGCGGACTGGTGAGGGGATGGTTCTACGTGAGTGACAGGTGTGTTCGCGGGCGCAGGAGCCCGCATAAATGGAGCTTTTTGACCTGGGTACTTGAGAGACCGCCTGCTGCCAATTACCTCCCAAAGACCCATTAGATCACACAGGGTCGGCCTCCTCTGTGTTCCGTTCTACCAGCCAATGCCATCTGGCTACGACCCGGGGGGAGGGTCTTCTCTGTTACAGCTCCGGCCCTTTGGAACGAACTCCCCGCGGAGNCACACACACACACACACACACACACACACACACACACACACATACATGGTCTTGTTGTATTCGGGTCTTTTCCCATGTAAGATTGAGATTGTCTTGGCAATGTTTCAGCGAGGTCTCATTCGCCATCTTCAGGCTGTGTTTTCGGCTTCAAGTGTGATTGGAGCTGTCGTCTTTCTATAAATCTTGGTGGGTGTGTGTGGAGTGCTGGCTTTGTTTCAGTAAGTGGAGTGATTGGTTGTGTGGTTGTATCATGATTAGTTGATTGGTGCTGATTGTGTGTTTGTACGTGTGAGGTGATGGATTCTGCATAGGGTTGGAGTTGTTTGGCAAGGAATTTGGCAAGATTCTGTAGAGATGAGCCTATGGAGCTGACTATGGGTCTGAGTGGTGTTCCTTTGTGTATCTTGGGGAGGCCATAGAGTTTTCTGGAAGATTTCTTTCTGGGGATGATTCTTTGCTGGATCTCTTCACTGATGGGAGAGGCTTTTATTTTGGATTTGGTGGTTTTTTTCCAGGTAGGTGGTGGGGTTTGTGTTTAGAGGTTTGTAAGCGGGGTCTTGGAGTAGGTTGGATAGTTTGGCTTGGTAGTCAATATATATTCTACTATATATATATAGTATAGCTACAGTGAGGAACGTGCACCTCTGCAGCTCTGGTAACCTATATTCTAACTGCTATTTCATGGAGCCTAAATTTGTATTTTGAAATTACGGTAATCTGCATTATGGATAATCTGTGTCTGATGTCATCATTACTTCAGCAGTCTTCATAAATTGCATAATCTGCTTATGCATTAAAAATTTGAGTCAAATATGCTTCTTTTTTCAAAATGAGGTTTAGATAGTTTGAAGTTACAGCAGAAATCAAAGCATTAGAAGTCATGAGAGGAAAGCTGTAAAGAGATTTATAACTGGTAATCCTTTGACTGTTAGTCAGTGTGGAATTGGTCACAGCACTGAATCTAGATAAGTAAAAAAATTACTCAAATTCGCTCAAAGAGGGGCAAACCACTTTTGTACATTTTTTAAAATTTAGTATTGTATTTTAATCTATTCACTGTGTCTTGTTACTCTGACCATATCTGTTAAGAGAAGGAATAGTATTGCATGGACCTTCCCCATTGTTTTAAGGCTAACTTAAAACAATTCTACCTTATTAAATGAAATGCTTGGAGCTACCAGTTCTGTGCAGTGACTCCTGAATTCTTCTGCAGACCCTGCCTTGATCTACGAAAAGTGTGTAGAAGAGGAAGAAGGGTTTGTAGGAGCTTTGCAGTTGTTTCCATCTGGCTATAGTGTTAAGTCTTTGGAACCTCAACTGTCAGGTAAATATCACAGCAAGATCAACTTGTATTTTGTCTGCAAGAGCGGGTGATTTCTCAGCCCTATGGAAAATATGCATACATTCATATTGTTTCCTTCCAGGAAAGATGCTGGTTTTGGACTACATTCTGGCAGTTACTAGAAGCACTAGTGATGATAAAGTAGTCCTGGTGTCCAATTACACACAGACCCTTGACCTTTTTGAGAAACTCTGCAGAAGTAGGAGGTATAATCACTGAGGCTAATGTATATATTGGGAGTGAAATGAGGGGGAGTTCAAAAAAATCCTGGGGAGGGAAAGAAAGAGAAGACGGGAGAATCTTTTTCCTTATATAGGGGTAAAGCTATTTTTATTTCAGTAAGATATTTATATTAAGCTTCACGTCCTGTTTTTGTATCAGGTATTTGTATGTCCGTCTGGATGGTACCATGTCCATTAGAAAGAGAGCAAAGATAGTGGAACGTTTCAACAATCTTTCTGTAAGTGAAGTTTCTAATATCAGGTTCTATCCTGGAGGTTTTTACTACAAAAGCCCCTGTCTTTCTATACTGTCAGTTTTAACTGAAAGCGATGTTCTTCAGTTTGACATAGGGATGTAGCTACAAAGCAGTAATAGATTAGTAAATTTGTTTTAATGTGCTTTGCAAAAAGTCATAACCCCTGTATAAAAGAGTGTGCTTCAATTGTTACAGTCCTAATTGCAGTACCAGAAATTCTGTTAAAGTCTGTTAAAAAATCAGATGAAATTGTGGCTATTGTAGTGGCACCTGTTCTTGAATCAGAAAGCCTTGCTCACTCATGTCTTGGTAATTTCATGCTTGGGCCATTGCAGAGGCATACACCCATGGAGCAATACTATTTTGTGACTTCTTGAGATTTCTTGTTCTGCAGATAATATATTTAACTGTCACCTATGCTTGATACTTTTTTTTCTGGTTTCACAGAGTCCTGAATTCATTTTCATGCTGAGTAGCAAAGCTGGGGGATGTGGCTTAAATCTGATTGGAGCAAACAGGCTTGTGATGTTTGATCCTGATTGGAATCCAGCCAATGATGAACAAGCTATGGCCAGAGTGTGGAGAGATGGCCAAAAGAAAACGTGCTATATCTATCGATTACTTTCAGTAAGATTGACCTATGTAACTCATGGTTGACATTAGTATCTTGGAGCATACGAAATGAAGCTTTGAGTTTTTTGCAGGGAAGAGACAAGTTTGTAGCAGGTGTCTTATTATTTATTTATTATTATTAAACAAATTTACGTACTCCCCAACTCATTATAACATCTAAGTTGCTATTGGGTAGAGCCGTGATGGCAAATCTATGGCATGCATACCGGAAGTGCCATGCAGAGCCATCTCTTTGGGCTCACGAGCCATTGCCTGTTGCTTCCAGGTTCCAGAGTGCCAGCCTGCTGGTCTTCACGCATGTGGGAGTGCCAGAAAGAGCAGCTGCCTGGTGTGCATGCATGCACTGGGAAGATACATGTGCATGCAAAGACCAGCTGGCTTGTGTGCATGCACATGCCAGAAATTGGAAGATCATCTTCCCAGTGTTCACTTGTGCACCCGGTGGCTGCTCATCTGGTTTCCAGCGTGCACATGCTCACCGGCCAGTTCATCTTGGCTCACACATGCACATCAGAAACCAGAAGACACAATCAACTGCTTTTCTGGTTTCTTGCATGTGCCCATGCTCCCGTTTCGCCACTCAGTGCTGAAAAGGTTCGCCAACACCAGCTAGAGTTTCTTATGCCGTACCATGAACATGTCCAAAATAAGGTGTAACATAGATGAATTATATTAAGTATTATAAGTATAACCCTTTACTTGTTCAGAAGGAAATTATTAGTGTTTCAAACTGGTAGCTTGAGAAAGAAGAATGAAAATCTATTCAGTTTATTAAAACATGATCTTTTTCTAGGAGTCTGATTTTTCAAATGGTTTCATAATAAGGGATGTACCTTGTCTTGGCCAAGACCTACAGTTATGAGCCTTACCTAAATGAGGGTTGGTCTTGCAACTTTCAGAATACTTTGCATGTGTACTCCAAACAATATGCATCTAAAACAACACCATCTTGGCCTAACATAGTGCTAGCAGCCTACTTTTGGGTAACAAGCAGGACTGTACTTAGAAGTTATTTTTCTTCACATGCTAAAGATTTGATCTTTAGGCAGACAAAAGCAAGATTTAAATAAAGTATTTGCAAAACATTCTACCTCTTATGAATTGGCTAATGTTTTTGCTGTGTTTGTGTTTGGAAAAAAAAGAGAGAGAATTGCTAATGTCAACTTTGATAGCTTCTGCTGAAGCTAGCTAGATTGTTAAAATCATGTTAAGGAATGTGTAGTGACTTTAAGAGTCAAACAGGTTGCACAACAACTTGTCACCAGATATATTTTTATTTTGTAGACAGGGACAATTGAAGAAAAGATCTTCCAGCGGCAGACACACAAGAAGGCACTTAGCAGCTGTGTTGTAGATGAAGAACAAGATGTGGAAAGACACTTCTCTCTGGGGCAACTGAAAGAGCTATTCACACTCAATGAGGCCACTACAAGTGATACCCATGACAAGTAGGTCTCAGAAGGGCTTAGATACCGGTAGCTAAATTGTGTAGACCAGTGGTGGGTTTCAGGTGGTACGCCCCGGTATGTTTACCGAAACCTACCCGAGCACCGGGTACCGTTTCGATACGGTGCCCCAGAGGGCCCACCTTACCTGTCCTTTTAAGCCTTTGGCGCTTCCGTGAATGGCGCGTACGGCGCCTATGCGACACTCCGCCGAGTAGCTGGAACGTTGCAGGCAAGTACAATGCAAGTGTGCGCTGTGCACATGTGCGCGTACGCTGTGCGCATCCATATGGGTGATGCCGGGCACCGGTTGGAATGGGATCTGGCACACACCACTGGTGTAGACAGAAATCAGGGGATATAGATGGAAATGTTAGTATTGTTTAAAAAACAAACAAATGAAAAAGACTAAGGTAAGCTGTATGCAGATGTTGAGTCTTAATCTGAACATTAGTGATAGAGGTTTTTGACAGCCAGCCAGTGTTGCAGTTAACATGAATATAAAAGTCCACATTTGTAGAAACCAATATTTGATGTTTTTTTATCTTGAGTTTTGTAATGTACAGCTCAGATAGACTAGGCCTGGGAACTTTTAAGCCTGCATGAATGTTAAGGTGAGTGGGTTGGTTGGGACAATACTCTTGTACCAATCAGCTGTACAAAATTAAAGGGTAGAGAATTTTAATGTATTCTGAACCATCTTAAAACAATGTTTGATGGTCTACTATTGTACATAATATTTTACATACATAGTAAAGGCTTCCAATTGGTGGATTTTCACTCATTGAAAATATTGGTTTTGTTGGTGCCATAGATATATTTTCCCATTGTTGGCTTTTGAAAGAGGGGATTATTTTGTAATTCACACCACCTTAAGTCATTGCTACCAGAAGCCATTTAAATCAAATAATCCTAATTTATATTGTTCCTAGCATGGAAAATTTGCCAAACTTGCCAAGCCCTGCAGCTCAAATACAAAGCATGAAATCATGGCTTGTAACGGGGGTGAATACTAATGTACTTTTTATTGCAGGATCAAATGCCGTCGCTGTGTGAACAGCCATCAAGTCAGACCTCCTCCAGAGGGGTCTGACTGCACTTCCGATTTATCTCAGTGGCATCACTGTGCTGAAAAACGTGGCCTCAAGGACACTGTCCTCAAGACTGCCTGGGATGCTGCAGTCACTTTCACTTTCTATCATCAATCACATGAAGAACAACGAGGGATATCATAACCATTGGATCAATAAACTCTTTCTTTAAAATATTGGTTTTTTTATATCTCTTTAACAGCAATCTCTTTAACAGCAATCTGTATAAATATTATTTCACAAATACTTTGCTAAAATATTTGGTTACAGGCAACCATCATCAATATTCTTTTTCCCAAAAAATATGTTTGAACTTTTAGTGTCAGTCTGCTAAATGTGTACAGAATATTCTAGTAGCAGAAATGTTAAATTTGGAGTAATCTTTCTAGAATGTCACCTCTAGAATGTCTTGGTATCATGAAGTCTACCTAAGTCAGATGGACTATTTAAACCGTTAACAAATACCACTTTCAGAGAAAATGCTCAAAGTAGAATATCATTGTGACATCATTTTAAAAATGTATTTGCTGGAATGGACTAATATTGCATCATCCGGTTTTAAACCTATTACAAGGACAATTTTTAGGTCACGATCATTTTCAGTTATAAAATAAAAAATTGTCATTTTTTTACAACAAATTAATAAGTAAAATAAAGAGAAAGAATATTATTCCAAATGGGTGTACATATAGTATATCACAAGAAGCAATAAATGTATTTCATACATCGGTATGGATATGAGTTGACAGTAAGAAAATGGTGTACATGTATATATAAAATTGTTTTGGCTCTAATATAATAGTAATTTCTGGTAGACTAAGATCTTTATTTTACAAAGACGGGAAAGCATTTTCTTTATTTAACTATTTTCATATACTGAGAAAGATAAATGTGAAATCTTTGTATGGAAAGACTAATGACCAAGAAAAGAATCCCAAATAATTGTATTTATGTTAGAACGGGCCCTCTGAATTACTGTGGTTATATTGAAAAACTAAAAATCTTTACAAGGAGATGCTTGAAATGTGTTTTCTAGGACATGAGGATTAAAAAGCAATGGATATTTAGGTTGCCCAATAATATGCAGTTAATTCAAATAATAATAGGATTATCGCTGTAATACTTTTTATTTTAACAATAAAGTCTGCATAAATAGTAAACATACTCCAGAAAGCAGAAGTATCATTTAAATTCTTGCTAAAATACAGAAGGTATCTGAACGACATAAACTGTGTGTGGTTCATTTGGTAGAATAGTATAATCTGATCTAGATATTTTTATCCACATATCGCAAGACAGGTTTCAATTTTAAGCTAATAAGTTTTCCATTATTGAGTTGTTACATCTTGATTCAACATAATTGCTAATTTCATACTTTACTGACTTTATAAAAGTTATTTTGAAAATGAGACATTTCAGGAAACATTTACTATATCCTTCATGCTAAACACAGAAATCTGAACACAAACAAAACAATACAGTTTTGTACAATTATTTACAACTGGTGCTTAAATATCCCAATAAAATTCCAATAAAAAATGTTAAGCAGATTTATTAGAAGACACTCTCCATTAAAGTGCTTCTTACATCACACTGATGTAGTCAGCAAAGGCCTGTGATGAGTCCCATGCATCACTAACTACATTGCATATAGCTTTTAGTCTTGAAAGGGCTTCTTGAGCAGTGACAGCGTCTTGGTCCAGCCAATTCTGATAGAGGCACAGTTTGGTAAGTTTGATACATGCTCTGCGTTCAGCTGTGTAACTTTCCAGTTTTTTGGTAAATTCCAGAAGCCCATCAGGCTTAATACAGTTGGAGCTAGAATGGAAATTAACAACAGTATTACTGTACCTCATTGCAATTTATGGCTTAGAACAGGGCTGTCAAACTCACGGCCCATGGGCCAGATGTGTCACAGGCTGGCCTCGCCCATGCCCAGTTTAGCAAAGCAAAAGTTGCAATATGTCATGTGACACTGTGATGATGTGAGTTTGACACCCCTGACTTAGAACTTGAAATATTCATCATAGTAGTGAGCTAACAGATTTTTTTCTGAATAAAAGTATGAATGATTACCATGTATAGTTATATAACAAATCAGGAGTTGAATTTTTTGACATTGGCACATCTCCGGGACTATATGCCTAAGACTTTATGGCAAAATCTGTGTTCCATTTAAGGGAATCATCTGTGCATATCATCAAAAAATTGCATATAAATAATAATTTTACTTAACATAAAATTCTAGGTTCATGACTCGAGGCAACCTGCGTAAGCTTGTTGCAAGTTCTTCCTTGGATGTTGACTACTGAGAGAAAGATGAGCACTGGGACAAAATTCTGCTTCAAAGCAGATTGAATACTGAATCTGAAAAGTTCTGAAGCAGTTGAGTGCTGAGGTATGACTAATGATCTCCACACATTGAAATTACAGTGATTTGAGCCACGGTGGTGCAATGGTTAGAGTACAGTACTGCAGCTACTTATGCTGCCTGCCGGCTGCCTGCAATTTGGCAGTTCAAATCTCAACAAGCTCAAGGTTGATTCAACCTTCCATCCTTCTGAGGTGGGTAAAAGGAGGACCCAAATTGTTGGGGACAATATGCTGACTCTGTAAACTACTTAGAGAGGGCTGTAAAGCACTGTAAAATGATAGATAAGTCTAAGTGCTATTGCTATTTCGTCTTGCAAATTGATGCTAACTATTGAAAGCAAAAAACTATTGAAGCTACAAACTATTGAATGAAAAAAGCATTTTTTTCCAGACTAATTTCATTGCTATCTTTTTTTTTTACATAGGATTGCATGAGGTTGCTTCTCTTCACATACATACCTTACATCTAGATGACTGATAGAAGAGGATGAATTTCCAGCAAAAATGTCAGCCAGTGCAATCAATCTAAGATTCCCTAATAATAGGGGGAAATGTAATTTAAAGCAAAGTATGAGGGGTGTGTGATAGAACAAAGTGTAAATAATAAGAATATGCAAAATGCCTTTTCATGGAAAAAATAATAATCTTCAGACAAGTGTCTTATGAGATGTTTCTAGATTAGAATATTTTCTGATGAAATATTTTCTATAGTCAATATCTTATAAGCACGGATCCATTAATGAAGATTTAGTAAACATCCTCCAGGGGAAAGAATATGAAAAGTGGTAGAAAAATGACTGCCTGGAAAGAATTCTCCTCCATTTACTTACTATTTATATGTTTTTTTTTCTCACCCCAAAGGCACAGAGTAAATTAACAAACATTTCCAAGAACAAAACTCACTAAGAAATTATTTAAAAAGAACCTTTAGTAATTGGCTGAACTTTTGGGGACCAAAAGTTCACTATGCTATAGGAATTAAGTAGCTTCAACAATTGTATTAAAAAAAGAAAATGAACAGGTCAAGTTTTATTTCCCACTATAATAGTAATCTTGTGACCATTCATTTAGAGTCAAATAGGAAGTTTATTTATCAATTGAAATTTGTAACCAAGATTTTCCCCTAAGGGAAAAAGGAAATAAATGTCAAATGTTAAGGTAAATTATATACACTATATTGACAAAAGTTTTCGCTCACCCATACAAATTTCAATTGATAAATAAACTTCCTATTTGACTCTAAATGAATGGTCACAAGATTACTATTATAGTGGGAAATAAAACTTGACCTGTTCATTTTCTTTTTTTAATACAATTGTTGAAGCTA